AAAAAAAAAAAAAAAAAAAAAAGTCAAAGAAAGCTATAAAAGGAAAGAAAAGAAAAAGAAGAGAAGAAACAAATTTTTAAAAAAGAAACTAACTGTGATGATGGTAATCTAGGAGAGCCAGCTGAGGTTCACCTTAGTCTTTCAGGATAAAATGCTAAGAGGGTGCTGATGACGGCAGTGGCAGCTGTCCAGCGTGGTTGGTTGCAGCGGGAAGATGCAAGCAGTAGTGGCAGGAGTGCCTGCGGGACCAGTGGCCATGGTGGGACCCCATGACCCATGTCCCCAGGGCCTTGACTCCCTGAGAAAGCAGACTGCACTGCCCCAACCCTTGAGCAGTAGGTGGGACCCTCCCACAGGCCCGAAGCCTCCACCATTCCTGCCTTGCTGCTCTCACCCTGCAGCTGTGGGGAGGGCATGGAACTGGGACCTGATTCAGGGGCCCCAGGTAGGAAGTGAAAGTGGCCCAGCTTTGGGGTTCTAGCCAGCAGCAAGGCCACTGTTCCATCCTGCCAAGGAAGCCCAGTTCCTGTGTCTGAGGAGGAGACTCTGCTTGAGGCCACCCAGGGCTTTGTCCTTGCAGGAGGACTCTGAGTCTGATGCTCCCCATGGCCAGGCCAGGGCAGTGATCTGCTCCCCAAGGTGTCTCCCCAGTGTGTTCCAGTCAAGGGGAAGCCCCGGGTACTCCCTGAATGCTAGGGGAAGAACTTGCAGAGACATCAGCCTCGCCCCAGATGCCGGTCTGGGCCCAGCAAGGGGAGCTGCCCACCCCAGGCTGCAAGAAGGTGTGACAGGGGCTACCTGCAAGCTCCATGGATCTGGTAGGAGTCCCTCCCTCCCCGTAGCAGGATTCAGGCCGCTCTGCACTCCATGCCCTCAAGGCCAAGAAGGCCCCCTGTCACTGCAGGCCTGGGGATCTGTCCCTCTGACTGGCCTCTCCTGGCTCCCACTCCCCATGCACACACTCTGATGTCAGAGTGGAGTTGGGGCCAAGACCTATTGCTGTCACAGCCTGTCCTTGTATGTGGACACTCACGCCAGCCTCCAGCCACCTCAGGCACAAGGAAGCAGAGGGAAGATGAGCTGAGGGCAACGGGCGATGGCCTACAGGTGCCCCTTGGCATGAGCAGTCTGGGTGCCGTGGTCAGTGGTGGGAGGCAGACAGCCTCTTGGGCAGAAGGGGGCAGGTTACTCATGAGGCCCCTCCTTTTGGCCAGCAGAGGCCTGTAGACTGTGGGCTGGGCTGCCAGTCCTGCTGACAGGAGTGGGAACCTGTGCCTTTTCTGGGCCTGCTCCATGGCTGTGCTCCTTTCCTTCCCTCTAAGGACCGTAAAAGTCCTGGGCTCAGGCAGACTTGTGGAGAGGATAAAGAAAGCAGAGAGAAAGGACAGGGAGATGAGGGATGACCTGCTGCAGACAGGAGCTGCCCTCCCCAGGGTCTCTTCTCAGCTGCAGAGTGGGGCTGCCCTCACCAGAGTCTCCTTTCTGTGAGAACTGAGGAGAGGACAGGACTATCAGCTGCAGAAAGGAGCTCCCCTCTCTGCTGAGAGCTGAAGAGGTTTTGGGACAACCTGGCTATGGAGAGGAGCTGCCCAATGCAGGTCTCTGAGCTGTTCTATTGCTTTAAAAGACTCCTCTTTGTCCCCCTCACCCACTTGTCCGCATACCTCATTCTTTCTGAATGCAGGACAAGAACCAGGGATCTACTGAATGGTGAGGTTAAAAGAGCGGTAACATAAACAAGGCTGAATCATGCCCCTTGCTGGCTATGTTGTGGGCAAAGAGAAGGAGAGAAGAGCCGTCTCTTCAGGGAGCTCAAACATGGGTGCTCACTGAGTCACTGTTGTCACTGCCTTTTTGAGACCTGTGCTTCCTGGAGTCTCCAGGCTTCTTGGTGCCACCACCTTCCCCAGTGCCAGCTGTGGAAGCTGCTTGCAGTGCACCTGGTCCAGCTGCAGCCTCACAGGGAGCTGGCACTCATGCTGGTGCCTAGAAATGCCCAACCCTGTCTCATGCCTGGCTGTGTGCAGTGGCTGGATTCCACACTCACTTGCTCACACATCTCTCACCACCTGACTCACCCTTGGGAGGTGTGGGATCCAGGCCTCTAGCATGAGCCAAGTACAACCTGCCAGGATAAGTGGGTGGAATGAGCCCAGCTGGTTGGAGCAAAAGTCAGGGAAAGGCATTATCAGCCATAAATCTGTGGCAAGAAAAGCCACATCCCAGTGATTCCATAACAGTGATATGGTTAGGCTGACTCCATTTCCCCACCCAAATCTCATCCTGAATTGTAATCCCCATAATCTCCACACGTCCACGGTGGGACCTGGTCGGAGGTTATTCGATCATGAACACAGTTTCCCCCATGCCGTTTGTGAGTACTCA